CTCACATTTATGGTGAGCAATGGATCTGGTCTCCAATTGGGATCATTGAGTGTCAATCGTTTTTTTGCAATTTCAGCAGGGGATTTTTGGAATGGATGAAATGAATATTTTATCTGAAATTCAATCAGAGCTTTTGCGTAAATGTTTGAGTAGTTAAGCTTCGTTACACTAAAACTAAAATGGTAACCTATGCTAATGTGTTTTAAAATTAAAGCCTACCAATTGTTTTTCAATCTTAGGATTTTTAAAATTTCTGAATGTATATCGCAAGAAAACGACAACCATGTGTTGGCACTGCAATTGCTAAGCGATTTCTGGAACTTTCATGGCGTGTGTTAATTTGTTTTACATAACCATGCCATGCGAATTAAAATAAAATGTAACTCGTCATTTAGCATTCCCGGCATCTTCGGCTCAGAACTTAATTTGCAGTGTGCGCGGCGTTTTGACACGCACCTTCAAACCATTTGTTGATTAATATAATTATGTTGTTAATGGAGCATTTATAAATCTCCATAAGAATTTTACAAGTACTTAATGCCTTCTACGTGCTACGGCAGCAAGGGTTATACGGAAGTCCCATTTTAGCTGCATGTTCACCAAGTGGCAAATGTTCAGTGACCTTGGCTGTTAATCTGGCTATATTTTCTTAACCTCCTTTGAAAACTCTGAAGCCAGTAGGCTGCGAAAAGTGCTGCCAAAATCTTCTTCTTCCAATATGAAATCGATCCAACGGTGACTTGACATCGTCATGTAATGAAATGTTTGACATCCCGATGAGCACTCTCTCCCCGGGCTGCTTTAACACGTTCCTAGGCCCCGCTCATCCCTAATACACTAAGGGACATCGTAAGTTATGATAGGTTCTGAGGGCCTATAATCTACATACTTCAGGGAATTGACGTAATCTTTCCCGTTCAACTAAAGAACGCTATGGACATACTGTGGCCTCTGCTTTCTCAGATTTTTACAGTCTACCTAACCCTAACTCGTCTATCATACGAGTGAGCAGGGTCGCTCCTATGAAGCCTACAAATTTCAGGCCTATAACCCCACTTCATTTTTCCTAAAAACTCTAGAGGGGCTTATTGATGAATATATTCGGCGGAACATAAAAAACTGGCAACCCTCTCTTTGAACCGGCATGCATAATCCAAGGGCAAATTCGTGTATTGGCCACAAAGGAATACACGCTCGGATTTTTGTCGTGATCGTGAGAGCTTCAACAATGTCTATCTGGGGTCTGTTGTTAATTAACTTTTTATGGTGGTGTGCAACCGCGACTGATGGATTTTGTTGGGCCCCTTCTCGTAAAGAGAACAGTTATAACAGAACAGGGGGCGGCTCCGCAACTAAACACGTGATGAGCGGCACTGCCCTGGAGCGTTCTCTCCACTCTATTTTATTGAGGGAATGGAATTATGAATAAGATCTTTAGCAAAACTTGTAAGTGTGAACAGTTTTTAATGTACATCGTTAAGTTGCAGTTGGAAAAAAAATGGAAATGAAAATCTGAATTTTAAAAATTCGTAAAAAAGTTCAACTTTTTATTTTTTACGTATAGCAATCAGAAGCTGAAATAAAATAAAAAAAAACTAAAAGAGCTTCCTGGTTCTGTTTATAAAAATGTTTTATATGTTGACGATTTTTGAGAGCCAAACTGACGATTTCTCACTTCAATGACCTGGCAACACTGCTGCAAGTCCTGAGTGAATTTTTACAAAACGCACTCAGCCTTGTAAACATCTGGTCCAAGAAATGTGGAGTTAGCGTCAACCCTGCCAGGACCGAGATAGTACTCTTCGCGAGCAAGTATAAAATTCCTCTAATTAAACCAGGAGGTAGATAGAAATTACTCACTCAGCCGAGGTCCAATACTTTGGAATTATAATAGACAATAAACTTGAATGGAAGCGAAATATCGAAGACCGCACCAAGAAAGCCACTACCGCCTTGTATGCCTGTGAGACGGATAAAGGGAAAAATGGAAAATAAAACCATATACTGGTTACCACTGGATGTAAATCTCCCACCGCTAAATTTAGGGCCAGCTGTAGTGCGGCAAGGTTGAATGCGATCCAGCCATGGAGATACCTCAGATTCAGACACGCAAAGGTCCTTGAAACTCTACCAAATAACCTTCCATAACTGGATTATACCACTCCTCCACTGGGGTTAAGACCTTGTATCCAATGTTCAAAGGGCTAACCCCGTGGAATATTCGACGGAGCGGCTGTTTAAGAACCTTTAAGATTGGACAAATTACACTTAACGGTGCATGAACCACAACAGCTCAGATCATTAGATTTTTTTATTTATTTTTTGGTCGCGTAATGGAGCATCGATTCAGTCATTATCAATTGCGGGATTCAGGTCATTACCATCTTGTGAAAATTTAATCGTGCTGTGGACATCAATCATCAGGTGAGGTTCTGAAACCTTCTCTAAATTTGTGCATCTTCTGGTATAATTCTAAGCTATTCCTATCGGCGAAATACGAGTCTAAACACTGGATGAGTGTTACCTTCGATCTAGAGATAGCAGCATGGACTATTTTATTTAATTGTACTGAGATCTTGACCAACAGGCAGGTCTTGGTGAAGTCGATCGGTCTCAGTGCATTACCGCAGATTTCATAATGGAAGCTGACCTTATTGACTGTGGGACCGAACACACTTTGTACACGACAGCATTGATGTCGTCAAGCACCATTTTTTTCGCTTCGAGGCCATCCATTTTTTTTTTTTGCCGAGCGCGGTTAAGATGTTGGAAAATCTTTTTTTACCACAATAATTAGGGCTATTAATTTTTCCTATCGAACTTGAATTTCTTAAGATTTAATTGTAAATTTTAAAGTGTTTGTGATTTCTGAAAAAAAAATATAGCTAAGATTCGGTTTTCTCTTTGGCGTTTAAGTAATCGGTTGTATTGGCTTCGCTAATAAAATTGATAATGACAAAAATTGTATAATTTGATCCTTAAACCGTTCTAATTTAGTCCGTACATCTATGTTGGAAATCTTGAAAAGTTCTTTTAATCATAAAACTGAGAAAACTAAGGAAAATTGTAGCCATGCACTTGTAATTACTCTTATTTAAAAAGCTTAGGGATATATGTAGGTTGTTGTAAAATTGCAGGCAATAAATCATAAAGGCGAAACACGGGAAGTAAAAAAGTTGCAATAAACATGCCGCAGGCAAGTGGATAAAGAGGCAGGCTGGTAGGCAGGCAATCAGGCAAAAGTATCCTAGTATAGTTGTTGGTACATGCTCTGCTTACGTTTAACGCCGGCAACGGTGTCGGATTCGAATGAACTATCGATTCACCGGTTTTCTCATCCAATTTCGCGTACATGAATGGGCATTGCAGAAAGGAAAACGAGTACTTAATCTGCATTGTATGTAAAAAACATAGCAAATTTTTTATATCTTCGGAATATTTCAAATTGTTTAAATAGTAAAAAATTAGGCGCCTCAGTAATTTGAAAACATTGTAGAGAATATTTTAAAATCGAATACTTACGTAAAAGCTCTTTGAATCGCGTTTGCAGTTCGCTTTGGTTATGCACTTATCCAACACAGCCTCGAACACTTTGGGCATTGAAGCAATTAATGCCAGTATAACGCAGGGATATTTGTCGGAACGCAATGCCATTACCTCATTAGCGCGTTCCTCATGTGTGACCATGGCGAGTGCGGATTCGGGATATTTGTAGTAGATAGCATAATCGATGGCACTCATATCCATATAGTTATAAAATAGTTTGCATCTCATCGAAAGCAGCACTGATATGGCATGTGGTTTATTCTCCATGGTTGCCAGATGTAGGGCAGTATTCTGAAAACGAGAAAAAATTTTAAGAAAAATATATAAATAATCTTGGCAAAAAGGAGAAGAATACAGTGTGACTATCCAAATATCCCACCTAGCATTTAACAAAATTAGCTAAATGATTCTCTTGGTAGTCACGCTCTATTTCTTTGGAGGGCGAGGAGATATTTTCCCAAAGCTGACTTTGATCCAATATACTCTCTATGAAACTAAACCATGGCGCAATAAACAGGTGAAGTTATAAAACAGCTTTCTCGCTTTATTTTCTGACATTCGGCTGCGTCATAATCAAATTTTAAAGGCAATTTTTCAAATAAGGCAGTGTCAAAATCTTTCTTCTCGCTCTAATTACTTCACCTAGTACAATTCCGCCATGAACTAACCCTTCTATTTCAAGAACAGTACCCCTAATTTTAGCAACGTACCCATAGGATACGACAGATGGGAGTCCTCTCTTTGCTCCTAAGTGTTATAATAATTAATAATTTGTTGCAGCGCATGGCAGCAGATGGACAGAAAGTATTTGCATCTACAGAACTGCAACATCGTCCGTTCAGGGTAAGTACACCCAGATATTATACGATCTATTAGCGACCTCTATCGCTTCGCTAGTTACTTGGTTAAAAAATTAGGTCTAGATGTAAAAACGCTTTGAGTGAGTTAGTTCTCTTTTACAACATAAAGTGTCGACTCTCTTGACACACCTCCCAATATGACGTTCCTAATGTAATAAAAAAAAATAATGTTAAGAAGTAATTCCCAACAGCAAGCTATTCCTTAAGATAGGTATCTCAAAATGATTCTCTCCGACGGCTGAACACTGGATATATGCATACTAGCTGTATTTGAAGAAAGCAGCTGGTAACCCTATTCAAAAACCAAAGCTTTATTGCGCACCTAATGCCCAAACCCTTTCATTTGGCATCCCATATTTTTAATGCAGCGAACGGTGTGGATCTTATAATTTTTTAGACAGGTGGCAGGACCCTATAGAAATTCTAAGCACTAAAGACAATGATACAAACTATATTAAACAAAATTTCGAGATTAGCGTGGTCAAAAAATCTCGACTTTGTTTTACACCATGTAAATAGGTGGCAACCCTACTCAAAATAATAACATTTTTTGTACATGCGAAGGCCATACCTTTTCATTTGGTGCCTCATTTTGTTATCCAACGAACAGTGATTTTTAAACTGGGGGCAACCCTTCTCAAAAAAATAATACGTTATTGCAACATCTATTCTAACAAAGTCTCAAAATTTAGCGCATCACTATTGTGACTTCAATTGCGCCACAAAGTATGCTGCTATAGCATGTATGCTGCTATAAAAAAAAATTAGATTATAGTAATTTTCTTAATAAATAGGTAGTAACCCTACTCAAAAAACAATAAATAAATAAAACATTAATGCTTATATTGAGGCTAATCGCTTTCATTTGACATCTAAATTTTTGTAATCTAACGAATGGTGCGGATCTTATATTTTTTTAGACAGGTGGCAACCCTATAGAAACTCTAAATATCAAAGTTTATTCTTTTATCGATACAGCACATATAAGGTTTCAAGAACTTCGGCTTTCCGGTCCATATATCAAAAGGAAATTGTGACATAAGCATTCACTAAACAAGGCTCACATAAACTTTCTACTTTAAAATTATTTTCCAGCCATACTCACTCCATCCTTGTCCACCTGATCGAGCAGATGTGAGTGCACGGAATGCAACAACTCAATAGTCTGTGTGTAGCCCGACATTGCGGCCAAATGTAGAGGATTACGTCCATTGTGATCTCGATGCAAAAGTGCACCTCTATTCAGCAATAACTGTACCACACGCGTGTGACCCTGATGCGAGGCGATATGTAGCGGTGTGAGTCCTTCGCCATCACTTTCGTTGATTATAAAAGAGCCCTTCTCCGAATCGAGCAGCTGTTTAACGGTATTAAAGCGACCATAGCGAGCAGCAAAGTGTAATGGACTTTCGTTGTTGTTATTTTTGAGGTTAATGCAAGCGCCCAACCGTATAAGATTCTCTAGCGAGCGTATGTGACCATCACGGCTGGCGTAGTGTAATGGAGAGCAGCCAGATGCGTCCTTTTCGTTAAGCAACTGCAACAGTTGAGAATGCGATTGCTTTTTGTTCACCTCTTCGGCGAATTCCGGCAAACGGCCACCATTCATAATCACAAAATGCAAAACATTACGTGACGATGCATCCTTTACATTGATGCTAGCTCCAAGACGTATAAGCAGATGCACAGTTTTCCAGCCGCTACGCGAAGCTGCCAGCAAGATCGGTGAGCGATGTTCCTTGTCTAGCGCGTTTATGTCAGCACCCTCCGTCACCAGATACTCAACAATGTCCGGGTGATCGAACATGGCGGCGCAGTGAAGGGGCGTCATCTTTTGCACATCGGTGCAACTGAGGCAAGTGAGCTTCTCCGATGGTTGCATGCTGAACATGAGCTTGACGATTTCAATGGCTCCCTGGATAATTAAAGAGTTTGTTAGTCAACGTAATGCAAAGTGAAATAAAAGTATGGAATTTTTATTGGCTGAAAGGGGGTGTGGCACTGTGGCAGACTTGGCACGTTGTTATGTAAGTGTCCATATGTATTATATTTTCTAATAAGTATGCTAATAAACAAATATACATGCGTATGTATTGGGGTGGTTGACTCGGTTTTTCCAAACCGGTTTCAACCGTTTTTGATTATTTTTAGACATTTGTTTTGAAACCTTGGTTTTTCGAATACCAAGTAAACCTGTTTTTTACAATCGAATAAGCTGGGTTTTGAAGTAGTTTGTGTACTACATTTAGATTTTTTTTTAACCCTCTTTACAATATTTTCAAACTAAATTTGAATTGCCTTGTTCCCTGAATTCAAGCCCAATTTGAGTTTTTAAACAGGTAGCAACCCTCCTATTTGCAGCTTAGAAATGAATCCTTTTAAAAACCAATTAAAATGATACCCATATTGCAAAAATTCATCCAAATTAACAAATAATTTATGATGCATATTCCAGTTACCTAATTCCCTTAAATTATGTAAAATCAGATTTTTCAAACAGGTGGCAACCCTCCTGCATATAGTATATAAATACACCCTTTTTAAACCCATTTCGATTGATACCCATGTTGTAATAATTAAATTAGTGTATTGAATTTATTTTTTAAATAGGTGGCAACCCTTGTAAAACCCCTCAATAATATTCTAAGTATTCAAATTAAAGGTTTCTTAACAACCTTTGTTTTGGATCCCATATCTAAATTTTCTAGATTGCAAATAATTAATTTAAATTCGACTTTTCAAACAGGTGGCAACGCCTTTCAAAGTATTGTCAAACTAAATCCTAGATGAGCTGATGTGAGTGGCCATTTGAAGAGGTGGTTAGTGTCGTCAGGGCATCTTATTCAAATTTAACTAAACAGTTTAATCTGCTACAATATCCACATGGGAGTTGTGTCAAAGTATCGCCAGCCTAACGAAGCAACTCGAACTCTTCGTCTTCGGTAGGTGGCATTAGTGTCCGATAGTGGAATTCACGGCATGAAAGTTGACGGAGGTGCTGATTGATTCTCGATGAATCACAAAAAGTGAATTTTGTGTACTGATTAAGCATTAGTGTTTGCGTAAAAAATCCATAAGTGAAACCAAAGAATTGCTTGATAAATCCTATAAGGATTCTGCACCATCAATTGCAATGCTTGAACAGTGGTTTGCTGAGTTTCATTATTGTCCTGTTCTGTTCCATCAAGACAAGACACGGGCACACACGTGTGTTGTCATCAAAGAATAAATCCATCGATTGGGCGACCTACTCCTACCGCATCCACCGTATTCACCAGATTTGGCCCTAGGGGAATATTTTCTGTTTCCGAATCCAAAGAAATGGCTGGACGATAAGAGATTTGGGTCGCATAAAGAGACCATCTGCACGACAGGACTGTCACCGCGGAATTGTGCAATACCTTTGACCAGCGTAAAGTGAGCAGGAGCACCCGTAGGGAGGCGTCATTTCTCTGGTTAGTCCTGATAAATGACGTCTTGGAGGAGTTCGAAAGGAGAGAATGCCAGGTTATTGCCTACGCAGATGATGTGGCACTCGCCGTCAGAGGAAAGTTCTTGGACACTCGGTATGATCTTACTTGCTATAAATCCTAGAAAGACAGAGCTCGTACTATTGACCAGGAGTTACAAAGTGCTTCATGCCCAGCTTCCCTCAATAGGGGGTATTTCATTTGTTCTCTTTCACAGGGCCAAGTTATTAGACATTATCCTGGACGGGATTTTATCATGGCAGCCAAATTTTGAGGAGCGGTGGCTCTTTATTGCTGTAAAAATGCCATGGGGAAGAGATGGGTCCACTCTCCAAAAGGGATATACTCTGGCTATATGAAACCATAGTCAAGCCAATCATGTTATATGGGCTCATTTTCGGTCGGAATTCATTGGAACGATTTTTCTTGTTAGGAAGCTAGAGGACGTCCCTCGTTGGAATCAGCTATAATATTTTTCTTATGACCGACTAAGAAATTTTCATATGGAACCAAAAGAAAATAAAAATAGTGGTTTTATGGGATACATTCTAGTATACTATACATACATACATACGCATGTTTAAGTTATTCGTAAATACCCAAATTTTTTCATTAAGACTCATAGGCAATAACCGACACTTCGTTACTATTTACTGACGTCAAGTTTTTTAGAAGAATTCTGCTTAGTATCTGTCACTTTTACATAGCGACATGCGATGCTCAAAAATGTAGCAAATATAATTTGCTACGTACATACATACATGTAAACAAAGTTTGTTGCCATTACATATTTACATACGAAGGAATTCGAGTAATTTTTGGTTCCGCGTCAACAGAGCGATTAGGGCAACTTCCCAAATAATTGGCTTAAGAGGCAAAATAGCGAATGTTAACATGGCGAAAAACAAGCACATTGAAGATGTGTTTTTTTTTGGCGGATTGTTGGCCGCAGTATTTTGGCAGAGATGTGGAGATGGCTGCTGGTGTTCCTTTCGTTTTATTATTTCTTCGCGGTGGTGTGCAGTCTGTTGTCAGTTATTAATGGCAGAAAAAATTCCTGCGAATATTTGAACAATGTGCCTACATACATAGTATGTACTGAAATTGTTTCATGTTTGTGTAGCTTACTTTTTTACTCATTACCAAAGGTTACGACAGTCATGAAAATGCCACTTGTTTATATTCCGCTTATTACTGACAAATCAACAAAGCAGTGGGGCATCTAGGATTTTACTAAGCAGGAGATTTTTAATTTCATCACTAGTGTAACCAGATGATCACAAAAAATTAAGCTAGAATGACTTATAAAAGCTTGGAAAATAATAGATATATACAGTGAAAAATGAGCTAGAAAAGTCAGCACTTTTATGATGAATGGAGCCTACTCATTAAGATAATTTTTAAATTTTTTGCCCTTAACAAGTTTTTTTCTGATCTCTTAAAGCGATAGGCCTTCCGTGTCCGACGCAGTCAAATTTAACTTTGTTCCATACACACCGCGATACATGTGGTCCGAAAAAAGCGCTAAGGATAATTGGAAAGTTCACTGCAAGATTTTTTAACATTTCTATAAAATCGATTTTTTTCTCAGAGTACTAAAAAAATGAAAATTACCTAAAGATAGTAGCTAGACCTAAATTTTCGTGGCTGGAGCAAATATATAATTGCAAAATATAGCGTCAAAAAGACTAACCTGGCCACACTGTTCATTGCCTATTAGATTTTAACACAGTTATCAAGAAGTAGGTTTAGATTGTTCGTACCACGGAGGATTTTTCTCTTGCCATTTATACGAACTGTGCTTATCATGGTTTTAACTCAGCCCTAAATGCAGCTTGTGCTGTAGCTGGCATCAAAAAAATTCATTTTTTCATTCAATTTTTAAAAATATAAGAATACGATATCGATGTCAAGAAAGCACGCATCAACAAACGCCAAAGAAATAGCTGCAACGCAGATGCTAGCAGCATTGAAGATTACTATAGAATTAAAAGCATTATTCCGCTCATCGATACGAACGTATTTAACTCAACTTCAGAGTCGTTTTATCAAAAACAAATCTGTTTTTGAAAACTTCGGTATTTTGTTTCCAAAAATGCCTACAACTTCGATGCCATAAACTTTATGAATGAAAATAAGTTAGCAAATGTGAGGAAAACGATCGGGTGGTCGGCATTTCAAAAACCTGTTTGATCGAAGCTGTAAGTTCGACATTCAACTAAAATATATTTTAGCGATATTTCTTATTTGTCTGTATATTTTTTTTCGATGATCAATCATAAATGACCCTCATATGCCACCGCTCCTATAAATCCGCCACTGCAACAAGGATACATTTATATAATATGTATATAATTACTTACATACATATAAGCAAAGGCAATGTTAGGTACTACATACTGTTAGATTGCCCGAAAGCTAAATATGTCCCCATAATTATTTTTAATGTATTTGATTTTGCTTGCCAAACCCAATTAAAAAAATTGTTTTGTCTCTAGCATGTTTCCCGGCGTTACATACAAACATATGTACATATATACTCCATTATTCAGTTACATGTCCTTTAATGTCTCTTTAACCAAAGTATCGTTATTCGCAGTATGTGAACGAATTTCCTTTTACACTGTAGGGAAAATGACATGTTTTGAAATGACACAAAAAGCGCCGAAACACGTCAATTTAATATTGAATCGTAGATTGTGGATCTGTATACAGTTTTTCCTGATTAGGTAATTTTCCCAAGTTATTTTTATTTTTAGGAACAGATTTCAGAAGGAAATAACAAATATTTTGCATTTTCTTCATTTGTATTAAAACCTATTCTTTTGACAAAAAATCCAGCTACTCACGGTGAAAATCGATGAATAAATAAACAAGTTTTGATTGGGCAAATGATTATGTGCAATAATTTTTTAATGAAATAAAAGCAAGAAATAATGTTACTCATACGCCATGGCGCACAAGACCTTTCTCATACATAATGGTACATGGCGTATGAGTAACATTTTCCATGTTAGGGCGTGTGTGAATCGGTAACAAACTTCTATGGGGAAAGCTGTTGAATAATATTTTTACTATGGTGAGACAGTTTTGCTAATCTGCTGTGTGAAATGAAATCTTTTTTGACATTAGTAAATTTTTGATAACCGCTGATTTATGTATGTGGAATAGAATATTACAAATTGAAGTGAAATTAATATTTTAAGACAACATCTACCACCGTTGATTGCAATTCATTAATTTAAGCTTTTATTTAACGAAACATTACGCAAATCAACAATCTTTGCGATTGTCAAAATTTTCTATGCATTTGTCAAATATTTCACTAGCCTCATGAGCTACTGAAATTTTATTCACCTCATAGTTGTCAAAAAAATTTACTCGCCGCGAAATTTGTTGCCGATTCACACACGCTCTTTAAGTCTGAACTTTTTTTTATTCGCAATGCAAACTTAACATGAAAATATCTTAGAAAACTTACTTGGTCATTTTAGCGTCCCTACGTGGCTTCGTTTTTAAATTCTTCTTATATAAACTAAATTAAATTCTAAAAAATAAGCTAATTTAGTTTAAGTCTGTTTAAGCCTTAAAATCTTCTCGATAAATGTTTCATTAGAAAACATTCCTGAGAAAATTAATTAAGCTGAAAAATTCTATCGTAATGACATTTTTTTGTCTGCAGGACAATACACCGCCACTTACTTCACTTCCCTGCTCGACTCACCTGTGCGCACGCCAAATGCACTGGCGTCGAGAGATCATGTTGCTGTGTAGAGATTTTCGCGCCCGACTTCAGACACAATTCCACCGCTTTGATGTCACCACCATGGACGGCCGAGTGTAGCGGCACATTGCCCTCGGAATCGTAGAAGGATATCATTTCTTCGCGCGGGCAGCCACGTTGTTCACCCCACTGTGGAGAGAGAAAATTATGATAAATGCAAATTGTTTGTGAAAATAGGTATTCAGTAAGCGTGTAGTTGCTGTGATAAGGCGTGCGTTGGACGCTTTTGATTTCATTTTTTATTTTTTTTTGTAAAAAGTTGTGAATGTGCAATGATAAAAATGGTTGACACTCAATCAAGTTTTCGATTAACAAACATTCGCTTGATTTCGCAATTAAATGCGTGCACATGAACGGCGTGGTTTTTAAAGCACACTTAGCACAAATACTTAAAGATTAATAAAAACAATAAAATCATAAAATTTTAACTTTTTTTAAGCTTTGATATTTAGAAAATGATACTAAATATTTGTAAATTAATCACTTTAACGATTATGAACTAATTGCTTTATTCGTATTTTTTACCACATCAACTTTTACGTCCTATCACCACAAATGCTCGCGTTCGATTGAGCCATATTTATCTATGTGCGAGCAAATTGCACCATTTTATAATGTACATACACACATATGAAAGCATAGAGGAAATTTGATAAGCCGAAATCGTGTAATGACTGTTGACATATGTATGTATGTTTGTACACTAAGGTGGTATAAAAAGTTTAAAATTTTAAGCTCTTACCCTCTGGGATTTCTCTAAATGGAAAAAGAATAACCATATTTTTTTGGTAAAAAAAATGATGTTTAAAACTGCCTCAAAGCTCATGAAGACTTTCATATATTTTATATGGAGAAAAACACTTTTTCGTGGAAATGGTATAGAATTCTTGAAAATCAATATTTTCCGAACGGAAGTCTCTGTTTCTCTTCAGAAGACTTCCAATAATAATACCCAATTGTTTACTTTACCATTTTTTAGTACTAACGATTTTTATGGTTCCTCACATTGCATTTTTGGGGAACTTTGGGGGACCTTTAAAAAATTGTTTAAATTAAAAATTGGCTAAATAAATACATAATTGGGAATTTTTGATTTTTTGGAAAAATTTGATTTTCGAGAATTCTACACCATTTCTACGAAAACGTGTTTTTCCCCCCATAAAATGCCTGAAAAAATTTATCAGCTTTGAGGGAGTTCTAAATATATATATCTATCTTTTCTTTCTTTCCATTTAGAAGAACCCTAGTTGGTGAAAGCTTAACATTTTAAACCTTTTTCCCCGCATGTATTTGGACCACCCTATTGTACACACATTCATCCGTTTGCTTATTTCTTCAAAAATCGCCAACGTTCGTCTAAAAACCCAGACAAGGAATATGAGCTGAAGTAAGAAACTTGCATTTAGAGGCGGAAAAGAATGTAACACGTGTGGCGAAAATTAAAGCTCATTAAGGCTTTTTAAACAAAAGAGCATTTTGCTACATTTATTTACTTAAAGAAATGCACAAAATAAGTACAAATTACAGATTGCAATTTTGTGGTACTTTAAAACCAATCGATACCCTTAATCAATGAGATCAAAAGAAAACTACAAATTTTACTTTTTTTTCTACTTACGCACGCCCAAACCATTATCCTGTAATCAACATGATTATAAAATGCTTAACGTCGAAAAGAAAAGAAAGAACAGCTGGTACGTGAGTTGGATGTGCCTGAAATGCTGGTAGGCAGAAATTTAGGTGACTAACGGAAGATTTCGGATTCCTGTAAGAACAACTTCGGCAACCTCGAGACCGATGACCAGAATATACTTAAATTTTGGAAGAAAAAACACTTTTCCTCCGTATTTAATCAAAACAGCCCTGAATGTAGTGAAAAACATGGACCAAAGCCCCAGTGAAACACGACGGACCCGATGCCCAATCGCCAGACTGTGACGAGGTACGAATATCAATTTCAGTTCTTTGCGCTAACGACCTCCAAGATGAGCTATTCAAGTACGAAGAAGTATGCTCTGCCCACCGTAAGCGCCAAATACCGCGGGATCAGCATCTTAAACATCATGCATAAGGTCTTATCGAGCGTTTTATGTGAAACCGCCAACGAGCTGATTGGATCCTATCAGTGTGGCTGTAGACCTGGTGAGTCCACCATAGACCAGGTAGCCAAATCTTGGAAAAGACCCGCGAGAAGAGAAACGACACTTGCCATTTATTTGTCGATCTCAAAGATACTTTCCACCCCGTCAGAATTGGGAAGTACCTCTCCGAGCCACAATGACTGGCATATGCCAATAATATCGACATCATCGGCTTGTACAGCTGTGTTGTTAGAACATTTTTATTTGAAATTTTGCTAATTTTATAAGTATATCGATTCTTGTTTTACTCCACAAGACCTACAAGAAAAAAAATAACACATCCTAGATATTTCTTTAACTCGACTCTATCACCGCTGCTATTTTGTGTTTATGGACATGCAACAATTTTTTTTAACTAAATTTGGCAGTACGGGGTAAAACTTCCGCCGCGCTAGAAAAAATTTTCACCACACTGTTGAACTTTGAAAACTTATGTAAAAAATTTGGCAATGTATATAAGAAAAATAAAAAAAAACTGTAAAAAAAATAAGAATTTCTGAAACACTGCTATAAGAATACTTCACAGTTGTTTATAAAAACAAACCCTTAAACTCGTGTTTAAGGCGCAACGTGAACATACTAGCCCGTAGTCATAGAGAAGTTAGAAAAAGGTTTTAACGATTAAAATTGTGCTTTGTAGTAATCACCCTTTCTTCAGCATAAAAGCTTCAAACAAAAGTTCGCATACATTTGCACAAACGCCCTTTTAACTAACTGTCGTTTGGTACCAATATCGAAAGTCCTTAATACGTTACTTACCGTTCATAGTTATAAATTTTTTTAATAGGTTGCAACTCTTAAAAGCACGAACATATTAATTTAGTCTCAAAGCTCTTTTGCTTGATGCCCATATTGTGATATTTTACTGACTATCTTATTTCAAACAATAGATTTATAATTACATATGTAGGTGGCAAACCTTATAAAAAAAAAAATTTACCCGAAGCACGTCTGTAGATCAATCCCTTTCATTTGACCCCACATTTTAAAATCGAGAGAACGGTGTAAATCTGATACTCTGCACGAAAAAAAATTTAACAGGTGGCAACCCTTCTCAAAAAAATAAGACGTTGCTCCTTGTAGATCTAAAACCGTTTATATGGCCCCTCATTTTTTAAAATTGCGCGAATGGTGTAAGTCTTATGATTTTTAAGCAGGTGGCAACGCTATTCAAAAAAATTAAACCTTCTTGCACATCTAGAGGCCCCTTTACAAAAAAGCCAAACCTTGTTGTACATTTAGAGGCCAAACTCTTTAATTTGGCACCTCAGTTTTGAAACTTGAATCATCGGTGCAAATATGATGCCGTTAACAAAACAAAGCCTTCATGTATTGTATGTGTACATTAGGGTGGTCCGAAAATGCATGTGAAAAAGTAAAGTCAGAATTTTTATGCTCTCACCCTCTATGATTGTTCTATACCGAAAGAAATATATCCCAACTTTTTTATTTTGAAATAAAAAAATATTTACAGGTCGCTCAAAGTGCCCAAACTTTTCCATGTATTTTATATGGGTATATAATTCTTAAAAATCAATATTTTTCTATCGGAAAACTCTATTTATCTGCAGTAGATTCCCAATAATAATACGAAATTGTTTATTTAACCATTTTTTCTTCGCAACTATAATTTATAGGTCAGCCAAAAACCCATAAAAACCCCGAAAAATGAAATGGACAGACAAATAAAAAATCGTTAGTATTAAAATATGGTTGAATAAACCGTTGGATAATATTATTGAAAGCCTCTTGAAGAGAACCAGAGTTCTCCATTTGAAAAATATTGATTTTCAAGAATTCTATAACCATTTCTACAAAAAGTTTTTTTCCATATAAAAATACATGGAAAACTTTGAGCGCTTTGAGCGCCTTGAGAGCTGGGTTTAATGGTACCTTTGAAAAAGCTACGTATATGCATAATTTTTATAATATCTTTTTGATGTCAAACATTTTAAAATAACCTTTATTTCCAGTCTCTGCTTTTGGGGGACCTGAATGTTCGGTGTCGCTTGCGCTGGTACGACTACAACGGAACTCAGTAAACCACTTTTTAAACATTGAAATTGATGTTGTAGAAAACCCGTAGTATTTGTGAAGCCTTTTCTTAGTTTCGGTAATGGATTTTTACCCAAAAAAAAAAATTATGCTTAATCAGCACACGAAAATCACTTTTTTCCATTCTCGTAGAAAATCAAGAGGTTTTCTGCTTCCAATGGCTGTCAAACACAACCTAATTAGCGCAGCTTGCTCAAAAATTTACAGCAGAGGGCGTGAGAATCGCCATTAAAGGTACTGAGCGGGAAATTCAAAAAGTCACTGACTTCAAATTGCCCTCGTATAAACGCAAGTATAGCCAAAGATCAAGGAATTGAGAGGTTTGCATTGGAGCTTGCTAAGTTTACCCTCTTCACTCTCTGGTCATAGTTTAACTGAGGCCAACTTACTTAGTTTGTTACCAATTATGAACTTTTCACCAATATTTAACGTTAAATGATATACTAAGAAGCTTGAATGTATACCTTTTCGTTTGTAAATCCAAAAACCCTATGACATTAATCATAACTACACCAAATTAATTTCTTTGAGGAATATAAAAAGAATGTTCTAGGTGCTGCGAGTTTTGCTTTAAAGTGTTGACAAATTGCATAAAATTGTTTCCATAATTTCATTAGGCATCCTTATTGCTACATAAAATACGCGCGAGAAACGTCTCGTGTATTTAGACAAATAATTTTCTTTTTTTTTGCAATGTACATAGCCAAACCTGCAAATCCGTTTAATTTGCTTACTAAAATTTTCAACCCCGTAGTGCCAGCAAAACTTTTACGAAAACAAAATACATATCGCACAGAAGTAATGTTGAAGTTGCTTGTAAACATTTAAACATCTTAAAGTTTGATTATGGGAAATTTCATTTGCATTTTAGACAATCACAAAAGGTACGCTTGTAAGCGTAGGACGGAAGAAAGTAATCTTCAAAGGCCAATT